TTGAATGTGGAAAACAAAAGGAACACAATGTGTTTAAGTATATATGGACATGACACAAATGGTCAAAAGTCAGGTCATCATAAAAGCTAAGCTTCAGACACGATGTCTGACATTATGGAACCGGTGTGTTGGTAAAGGTGAGCCATGGGACTCATGGGAAAAGGACGTGACACGTGGAAATAATATGGAGTAGCTAGCAAAAAGTATGATAACTTTTTAAAAGTGCAACATGTATGATGATACATGGCTTGGTTTTGACACATGTTGACATGAAGTAGGTTTGGAACTTGACATGTGGGTCACAATGCGAATTTAGATTTCCAACTTAGTATAGCTAGTTCAAGGGCTTCTCCGATGGGTTCTTTTTGGGAATTAAATCTAGAATCAGTGAGGGATGGTTATGGCTTAGAGAGAGAGAGAGAGAGATCTTGAGGTCAGTTTACGTGGTTACAATTGTTAAATGGTATAAAATATCCTCTAACTTGGTAGTACGTAATTGTGTTTACGTAGCGTTAATCATGTTGGGTTGTGAGAACCTGAAGTACTTACTAGTGTCATGATATGGTGTTATTATGAACTCAATGGTAATGTTGACAAATAACTTCGTTATAGGATTCTTGATTTGGAAAATGAGGGTTGTTAACCGTAGTATACAGAATAGTTGAACAACTAAGACTAGGCTAACGTCATATTGTTAAGTTGTGTAACAATTATGATGTAGAGTTTGATTTGCATGGTGACAAGTGGTTACCGAGATTAACTCCTAGTAATTTGGGACAACTCTTGAGGAACTTGGTACAATGTCCAAATAGGATTGGACCAGCGGTTGAGTTACTAAACAACACATACTAGAGGCCAAAACAGTAGTTAGGTTTCATTAACTAGTTAAATGAGTATATATGGATATTTATAAGTTCATATCAAAACAAGTTTTCTATGTTAAATGTTTGATATTAAGTGTTTTATCACTTGAATAATTATGTTCTCAAGTTTGAGATTTAACTAGTATGGTTAGTAGTTTAGTATGAAAACTCTAGCATACATTATGTTTATTGTTTACATGGCATTACTTTTAGTTCTGTTATGAAAATTTTAGCACACCATATGGTTTACACCAACTATTGGAACAATTGATGTTATTATTTGTATAGGTTAAAATGAGCTTATTAGAAAGATATCAGTGAATGAGTATTGGAATGCATTATATGTGCTAGTGGTGTGATATACTACAAAGTGAGTGTTGGAGATCACAACTTGAGATACATGACAATTATCGAGATAGTATATCTTGTAGATAGTAGTTATCAATAAATGTATTTATATAACAGGACCTAGTGACAGGCTATAATTATAAGTATCCTAGTGATAGGCTACAATCACAAATTCTTACAAGGTTTGTAGGTCCTAGTAACAAGAGGTAGTGATTCCTCGTCAGCCTCATAATAATTTATATTCCTAAGGATATCAACGATTTGGTTAGGTACTAATAAGGTGTATAGATCCCCCATATGTATAAGTTTATGTTTTGGGGTATAAAGTCCTCATGGCTTAGTCTTATCTGTAGGGGTATGTCTTGGGATATAAAATCCCAATGTATATAGTTTAATCTATAAGGTTATACTGTAGGGGTGTAGATTTCCCTATATTTGTTTGTTATGACATGGTTTAATGTTAAAAGGTTGCCAATATGTATATTAAAAACATAATTGGATTGTATTGTTGAGTTAAAACCCATGTAGCTCAGAAGTCTTATTGACTTACGTGTTATTATTAAATATGCTATGTAATCAAGTACCAAAGTAAAGCTTAAAGAGATGCTTACAACGCCTTCATGTGGTTTGATCACTTCTCTTTTACTATGGTTGTTGATAGTATTGTTGTACCAACAATTAGTTGTAAACTCTCATAAAACAATGAGAATTTTTATAAAACATGATTTTACAGTGATCGATTTTACAATACTTGTACAATCATAATAAATTTGGAAAAATAAAAAATATGGGTGCTACAAATATAATACATGATGCTATCCCGTATTCTATTTTGGAAAACAACACTATTTATGTTTTTCTAGTAGTCTAATTTACTCTAAAATGTATAATAAATAATGTTATGTAATTATTTTTGAATCCTAAGCTGTAATATAATAAAAAAGTTTGACCCACTTTAATGGATTGATGATATTAAACATTATAAGAGTATAAAATGTTACTTACGACTATGATTTTTACACTACTAGAAAAAGGAGGATTAGTGAAATCTGTCATTATACATCTTTTTTTTTAACAACAAATAACTGTTATTATACATCATTAGGGACAAATTCAGTCTGTTGCTTTAAAGGTCATTAGCAACCATTGGTGTTTAACAAAATACAATATTTTGCATTTCTTTTGGAGTAGTCAACTACGTTCCCACATAGTAACTACAACAACAAGTGATCAACAACAACAATACAACCGAGAATTACATTAAATGTTGATATCCACAATCTTGCCTTCATAGAGCCAAAATCATGCCTTTGTACTAATGGGAGTTAGTCTTTGGGGTGTAGAATTCCATACAGTAAGTCCCTATTTAAATCGTATTTAAACCATGGTGCACCCAAAATATTATAAGTGTTCTAAGATTGACTTTCTTAGTGCCATTTTTCTTATGAGTTACGAATTAAAACAATTACCACCGTTTCTCTTCATTTTAGCAATGGAATGTCTGAACATCGCAATCAAGAGTGCCTGTGAGAAGTCTCTTGTTCATGGGGTCCAACTACCGAGAGGGGGTCTTTCTATTTCACATCTATTTTATGCTGATGACGCTATTTTCGTTGGGGAATGGGATTGTGTTAGCATCAGGACTTTGTCCCGTATCCTTAATTGCTTTCACATATCATCTGGTCTAAAAGTGAACTTTTACAAATCTCGTATATTCGGAGTTGGAGTTTCTAATGTTGAATTACAAGCAACTGCACGTATTCTTGGCTGCTTGGAGGGTTCTTTCCCTTTCAATTATTTGGGTGTCCCCGTTGGAGCTAATATGGAATTGAAAAAGAACTGGAAGTCGATTATTGATAAATTTAGCTCCAAATTATCGGTTTGGATAACAAAATCTTTATCGTTTGGTGGTCGTCTCACTCTCATCAAATCTGTCCTTGGTTCCCTTCCGACCTACTACATGTCTTTATTCAAAGCTCCCCAAGGGATCATTGATAAGCTTGAAATGATCAGACACAAATTTCTTTGGGGGAACTGTGGTGAACCCAAAAAGAAAATTCATTGGGTGGAATGATCAAAATTCATCACACCAATATCTGACGGAGGTCTTGGAATCGGCTCCTTACTTGCACAAAATACAACTCTCCTAGTCAAGTGGTGGTGGAGGATGATGAATGAAAAAGACAGTTTGTGGAAGATGGTTATTGATAACATTCACAATTTGCGTAATAAACCAGCCTCTTATATTGCAAGGAAATCCACAAATGGCGTCTGGTGCAACATCTCCAAAGCTGTAAAATCCATCTTGAACCTAAATATTGATGTGAATGAGATATTTAAGCTTATTCCAGGTTTTGGTGTCAAAATTTTGTTCTGGAAAGACAGTTGGTGTGGCGATACTTCTTTTAAAAAAAAAATCCCTAATTTGTACTCGTTAGAAACAGTAAAATGTTGTGCTCTGGAGGACCGACTATCTAGCAATGGCTTCTCATGGATGAGGAAGTTTGAGCCGATACGCGATATCGAGACTAATGAACTTCTACAATTGTACAAGGATATTGGAATGTTGACAGTTGTGAAATCTTCCAAATATGGTTTTGAATTCACTCGGAACCCTAATGGGGAATACATCGTCAATGTCATGAGGAGGTTGCTGGAATCTAATTTGATTATGTATAAAGGTATATCCATTTGTTGGTCAAAACTAATACCTTTGAAAGTAAGATGCTTTATTTGGGGAGCTTCATTGGCTAGAATCTCTGTGGCTGATGTTTTGATGATCAGGGGTGTTAACACTACAAATATTACTTTCCCTTTATGCAACAAAAAGAATGAATCAACAGATCATCTGGTCATTACTTGTGATTATACTCGGGAGGTACAAGATTGGATCCTTTAATAATGTGGAATACAAAGGAGAAGATTCTTGAATGTTAAAGAATTCATTGATTATGCAGTTATTTGGGGAAACTGCCCTAGAAAAAAAGAGATTTTAAACTTGGTGTTCTATTGTCTTCTGTGGAATATTTGGTTGGCCAGGAATGACAAAATTTTTAAGAAAGTTGTTGCACCACCGATAATAACCGCGGACAACATCATTTCATCATCCTATGTCCGGTATAAGTATAGAAGCAATTTTGGATGCGGAGCGTGGACCGATTGGTGTATTTCACCTTTCTCTCACTTTGTTTCGTAGTTATGTTTCTTTGTCTAATACTTATTATCTTTACTTTTCTACCTCTACTTGTATTCCTGCATCGTTTTAACTTCTTGCTTGCGAGTGCTTGTTTTTCTTTTTTCCTTTTTTAATATATTTTCCGTTTCCAAAAAAAAGAAAAACTATGGGGCGTTCACACACAGTAAATTAAACGTACATGTTTCTTTTCCATTTGGTCATAACTCATAAGAGATTAAGAGATCATCACATTCAGTCATTCCGTGTTGCATTATTTCTCAAACTATAATGTGAGGGAGGCTTCAATTAGATTAGATCAAATCCAGTAAGCTGAATCTGATGCATTCATCGCATTATCAATATATATTTCTATATTAAACACGAGATCCAATAAAACCTCAAATTCATTAACGCAAATCTACTTTTAACTAATCAATTAATTCACATAAATAATAAAGAGTAACCAGAACACAAAGCAACGGAGTTACGTAGATCGTAGAGATTAAATTACGTAATTTACAAACATCAAATCTAGCTATCAAAAACTAGATATTAATCTTATTGATGCAAAAACAAGAAGCAAAACCTAGTAGGGTGTTTTTGAATTAAAGATTTCAAACCGTAAGGTGGTTGATAAGATACAAAGCATTGCTGCTAACCCTTGTAAGACTTACAATGCTGTTTCTTATCTTCTTTTTAATGGCCGGATTGACTTTCCTGTCGGAAAACCCGTCAAGGCATGAATTCTCATTGGTGATGGCGGCGCTGGCCCACGTCTGAGCATTAGAGATCACAAAACGCTTATCGGCAGATTTAGGAAGACCAGAGATCGCCTTGAGGGTGTCTTTGATTTCACTAATGCTGTCTTTAATGTCTCCGACGCAATCTTTAAGGACTGCGGCCTCCCACTTGGTGATCTGTTTGTTTTTGGATAACCGGGAAACGGTGGAGAGGGTGGCGTTGGCGGATTTGAGGGTGGTGGAGAGGGCGACGTTAACCAGTTTAAATGGGTTAGTCTTGACGGCGGAGGCATAGGGGAGGAGGGTTTTCATGCAGACGGCGGGGTAAGTGGCGGAACTGCATGAGGTTTTGACGAATGTAGAATATGTGTTTTGTGGAGCAACAGCGGCAGATGAAGTTTGAGCTAATAAAAGTGCTGTGATCAATATCATGAGGAATTTGGGTTCCATGATTAGGGTTTGGGTGATGGGAAGGAACCAAGAAATTGCTCAACAATTTATAGACAATTTTTATTTTATTTTATAAAATTAATAATTATCTAATCATTTTTTAAATTAAATTACTAGGTCATTCAGTTATATTTATATACATGTAATAGCCGTAAAAAAAGTAATGTCTTTATCGGCCCAACACGCCATTTGACATCCGTCGTTAGATAAACTTTATTTGGCATCTAAATAAAATCAAAAGGATATTTATATCTAAACATTACAAAATTGTGTAAAGAAAGTGGATATATAAAAGGCTTAAAGCTTGTAATTGTAAATGACATTGAAGGGCTGATGTGTTATTGTAGTGAAATCGGAGGTACTAAAATTTAAATAATGCAAATGGCTCACAAAAGTGTAAAGAATGACATTTGATTGTTACTTTGATAGTGTTCACATTATGACATGTCGGTAGCATGATATATCTTTAAACTTGAATTTTATTTATTTGAAGAATTATCTTTGAAATTTTAATTGACAAATTCTCTTTAATTTAGCATTTTTCATCTTACGAGTTAGACATTTGGTTTCTGTTATTTTACTTTTAGTTTTAGTTATGTTTATAAATTTAATCATGAAAAAAAAAATCATGATTATTAACAAAAGTTTAGGACGCGTAAGTACATATCCATGGTACAATGTAAAAAAGAAAAATAGATGCATGGTTGTCACGTTTTTTCCATTTCAGATTAAATCATATTCATATAATTTACAAAAGTACAATTTATTGCTTGCAATTTTAAAGATTAGATTTACAAATGTATCAAGAAATAACAAGAAAATACTAGTGAGCTCTTTTTAAAGATGTGTAATTGTGTAAATAATGAATAATGGATTTATTAATAATATGGTTTATAAATTTTATATATTACATGAACATAACAACTAGATAATTAAAATTATTATTATGTTCAATTCGTAATATATATTTTATACCAATAAGTTTAGCTTAGGTGATATATCTTCAGTATTTTTTTTTTCTTTTCTTAAATTAAGTAGTTAGAGATTTTAGTAGGCAATAATCGGACAAAAATGATTTTTCCGTGGGTGAGTAACCCGCAAGGAATTAGCTCACATGGAAACCTCCTTGATCTCTAAAACAAGTAATGAAAAATAAACTAGTGCAATAACCACTTATTAGAAAATTTTAAACGGTTAAACTGACATTTAAAAAAGCTTATGTCATCAAGGGGAGAAAGCTTTTAATATTTTATGCAAATAATAATATATTTGTAAAATAATAAACGGTTAAAATGACATTTAAAAAAGCTTATGTCATCAAGGATAGAAAGCTTCTAACAACCTTAAATCAACTTAACAGTATAACGTACAATAATGTTGATAAACTATAATATAAAAAGTATAACATATCCAAATAATAAAACAAAAATATAAAAAATAATATAAAAAGTATAACGTATCCAAATTTATTATCTTTTATTAACATGGTTACGAAGTTTTCCGTTCAACTTCTCATTATTTATATAAATATCATACGAGTTATTATATCAAATGTTTATTCCAATAATAAATTTTGGATTTTGTGAGTTGTGATTCCATGTGGAAAGCGTATGAATACGAAAGCGATAATTTGAAAAAAAAAGAAGGGAATGATAGGGTGCATGTGGGTAGCCTACGAAACAGAGTAACGTGGATAGACGTGATCTGTTAGATTCTGGAAAGAAGGAAGGAAGTCAAACCGGTCTGGATACACAATTGTCTCACGTGACTCCGTCGTAGATTGCTGCTTGACAAATGCCGCATCTAATGGAACGAATGCATCAGAGACCTATTACCACTACTCACCTCCTAAATCCTATCCTAGCCTCTAAAACCATAACCAACTCAAACGGATTTTTAGACAACTACTTCAAAGTAGATTTGTATAAATTTGTTTATAAAAATGTAACAATTGAATTTATGGATTGGGAAGTGATTCGTACACAACAGTTTTTTACCGTACACAACAATTTATGCATTATAGAGTTGTACAATACAACACTTTAAAGCACAAATTGTTGTGTATGAAAAAAAAGTGTTGTGTACGAATCAGTTCTCTTATGGATTCTATCTCTATCCTCATAAGGTAATGCCGAAACAATTATTTTGACAATAATCATAACAACCAAAACCCAATTTTTACCCAATGAAGCTGAAAGTTTGCCTCCAAAACAAGAAAATTTATTAGGCTCGGCCCGAATGATCGCCAATAGGGGAGACCGTCTATGACTAATTGTTCGTAGGACACCACAATTATTTTGGGCTATGAATATTAATATATAATCATTTTCTAGGAAATAAGAAGGGTCCAAATTCAAAAGTCCAAAGTTGATACATTAGTGAAATCACAAAGAAGCAATATCATACATATGATTATCGTTATTCATAAAGAAGGCAGACAAATGCAATCAAAATAGGGAAAATAAATCAAGGAACCGTAACGGACGGCATATGAAGCATTCAAGCAATGATAGAGCGGATAATTTGATTATGATAATTTGATTATGATGTCTTCTTAATTCCTAAGTCTTATAGGTTAGAATCTTATCGCATATAGAAGTTCATTAACCATTTTTGTCACTATAGCATCCATAAAAAACTTTTTCAAAGTTAAGGTTGTTAAAAAATTACATAAGGATATCGATGCCATAATAAATATTGAATGATTTTATTATTTTATGTATAAATAAAAATATGCTAGATAAGATTGATCTTGATGCAAATTTTTTTAGAACAAAAAAAAATGACTTCCTTGGATTCAGACTCCTCACCAATCGGATAGAAAACACATTACACATCGAGTGAATCAATGTTTTTTTTTTTAATCTTATACTATTATTAATTACTTTGTATCTTAAAAGCTACAATGATTTTTTTTTTCTTTAAGTTAGTAGGCTTTTATGAATTGTATGGTTATGATTATGTCTTTAAGGGATCTTTTAGTTTTCTCTCTTACCGGACCCAAAATATGTTTAGACCGGTTATGAATGTACTTTAAACATAGATTGTGATGGTGCATGCAATCATACTTTGTCGAGAATACCATATTTAGTGACAACATGTTCAGGTAACGGTTTTGAATGAGCGTATAAGTATGGATACAGATAGTTAATGATTTGCCAATTTGGAGAAATATATAATGAGCATTTGGTGTCCTCGAACAATGTTGGCAGATGATGCAAAATTCAACATGAGAATCGACGGTAAAAACATAAAAATCAATATATGTATGTGTGTATCATTGTAACATACACATTCTGAAATTATGTATTGTTATTATTAAAAGTGAATAAAATTGAGTATTGAGTTCTAACAGCTAGTTTTTACTAGAAAGAAGTAAAACTATGTTTAGAATCACTCATAAAATATTGGAAGTCTTATAAGATTCCAATTAATAACCAAATAGTGAAATTTAGCGAAAATATAAAATTTGAAATAAGTAAAATTTTATTATTTGATGTTGTAAATTATCTCATTAGAAACTTGTAGGCGAAAACCTCATCAAAATCCGAGTTATAACGAAGAAGTTATGACCAATCGAAGATCCGCGACAAAACCGGCACAGCGCCGAATGACGTAAAAAGTGAGTTTTTGATAAACTACTTTTTAGCCTTAGAAATCTAAATGAAAGTCGTAGTATTCGTTAAACCGAGAAATTCGCTAAAAAGAACGCCAAAATCTGACTTCGTATAAGGATGTTATGATTTTTCGAAGTTTCAACTTAGTAGTAGACAGCTAAAAACTCGAATTTTAGAACGAGCGAAATTTTACTGATACATCCTAAACGAGAATCGAAGGTCTCGTCATATGTAGTACAACGGTAAAAAGTCTGACGAAAACGGATGTCGGATGAAGAAGTTATGAATTTTTAACGGATTTTCCTGTCCCGGTCTGTTAAAAATAATAATATTAAAATTAAAGTCAAAATTAGCCGATGAAGTCTAAACAAAAGTTGTAGAGCGTAATTTTAGCTACGCGTGCATATAAAGAACGTCAAAAACGGAGCTCGTATGCAAAAGTTATGGATTTTAGAAGTTCGTGGCCCGAAAAAACTCGCATGAACAGTACCGGCCACGTCACCTTCGCACGAAGCAGCAACGTCACCGGAGACGTGGCCAAATCCGAACTCAGCAAGTGCCGCAAGCAGATTCGCCGAGGCCGAGGTCCAGCAGGAAGGGGATACATCTCGCATCAGTGGCCACTCCGACCCGAGACACGTCTCGCCTACCCGCTTCGCACCCAGTGCCACGTCCGAGCTTCGCTTAAGTCGCGTCACCGAGACGTGGCCTCGCCTGATTGGTCCGAAGCTCGTAGGTACCACGTCTTCTCCCCTCCTCTCGCTTCGTGGCCTTCGCTCCAGCAGCCACGTGCTCGCTTCTCAACCACATGATCCGAACCTCGCCCTTATAAATAAGAGGGTGCGAACCCTCCCGGCTAGAATTGGAAAATTTCCATTTTTGGCCCATTTTTCCATATTTTCACTATTTTGACTTTTCCCGAAGCCCCGGTATCAATTTTAGCACTCGAAACATGTCCCGAGACCCCCGAGAAGCCTGAAAATTTTATCTTTTCGGTTTTGAAGCCCCTACCTTCGCAGAGCCCGGTTTTCAATTAAGCTCCCGGTTTTCAACATTGAAAGACATATTTAAAGCTGAAATGCTGTCCAAATTACTATTTTAACCCCTGGTTAACTTAAGGTGAGTTCAATATATATGAACAATTGTATGTTATGTGTTATATGTGTTATGTGCTTATCAGTGTTATTATTCTGAGTTATTCTCCCGTGTTATTTTATTCGCTATGTTTATAGCAATTATAATACCTTTGACCATGTGATCAGTGAAAGGACTTAGATTCACATTGGTACTGGTACGTAGCCTCTGGCCATGTAGAGCATGTCTCCATAAGAGAATGACTTCTATTCTATGGCATTGGCATAAGGTTTGATAGGAATGGTATGT